GGTGGACTGCAGGATGAAAGAAAACCAAGGATGAGAAAGAGTGTAGTAAATGACCCCATGCTCTTCATTTGTATGGAATTATCAATACACCCTAGAGACACAGACTGTTGTTGTTGAGAGCTGGTGGGCAGAGGGGAGACACCTGCTTGTTCAAGAGAATTGGTGGGACAGTCCCCGTCAGCGTACCTCCTCAGGACCTGTGGGCTTTAGAAGGTAAACTGGTAGTGTCCTACCTCTCATTCTCCAGGTGCACTCTGGCTGGCATGGTGAACTGATTCTTACAGTGCCCAAACACACCACCCTCTAGCTCACTCATCCCTCTGTGCCTGTGCTGCTGCTCTCCGCTCTCCCCGGTACACCTTTCTTCTCTTGTCTGCTTGGTAAACTATCTAGTCTTTAAGACTCAATCTAAAAAGGTCAGCTCTTCTTTTGTTCTCTTAACACAGAATTGGTTGCTCCCTTCTTGGTGGCTTTCATAGATTTGTCTCTTATGGTATCCGTCTGTCTATCCATCCATCCATCCACCCACCTACCTATCTATCCATCCACTCATCGATGCATCTACCTATCAATCTACCTACCTGTCCATCCATCCACCTACCCATCCACCTATCTATCCATCCTTCTAGACATCCATCCATCCATCTAATTATCCATTCACTAATCCATCCATCCATCCACAACCAATCCATCTACTCATGCATCTGTCCATCCATCCATCCATTATCTACTTGTCCAACCACCTACTCATCCACCCACTCATTCATCCTTTTATATATATTGAACACCTACAGTGCGCACCTCTGATCACACTGTTTTGAAGTTATGGATGAATCTGGCTTTCCATAGGCCAACAGTTCTTAATCTTCTAAGGGTCAAGGATATTCTCCAAAAAATGCATATATGAATAGACATGCAAGATGTTGCCCCCCTCTTCAGGAATCCCTGGTGGTCACTAAAGTTAGGCTGTACAACCTGGGTGTGGTGGATGCTGCTATGCAGTGCCCAGATCCCCCTTGGGGAATGAAGGACTTATTCATACCCAATGAATAAGTTGCTGGAAGCATGGCTGGAAGATAGTCCTCAGCTCTTAGCCCTCTTTGGGACTGTCTTAATTTGAAGAAAATTGCCTCCTTCCAGGGGCAGACCCACTTCCAATGACAGTTTAAGTTTGGAATCCGAGGGCCCAAACCTCTCACCCAACACTGAGAGGCCATCTCAGCTCTGCAGCCCTGATGGGATTGGCTGAGGTCTATGCTGGGAATGCCTTGAACCTTAACTTTACCCCTCTGTCAAAACCTGCATCTTTGCCTCTCCAGCCTGCCCTCTAATCTCTATCTTTGAGTCTACTTCCCAGGGGACCCACAGGATTAAAAAGCCCTGCAGAAGTCCCTTGTGGACAGGGAGTTTTAATGACTTCTATTATTTCCAGCAGCTTTCACAGGGCAGGGCACATTGCTGATTCTCCAGAAACATGTACTGAGTGCATTTTAATGCCTTTTCTTTTGGTTCTATGTTTTGTTCCTCATTGTCCCCAGCAGGAGTTCTCTTCAGACATCCAGGAGAAAGAATGGCTCCACCAGGAAGATGCCAGCAGGACTGTTGTAGACCTGTTTCTGGGAAATTAGTTGCCAACATGACTGTAAATAACCACAGGAACATACGTTGAGCTAATAAGTTAATACAAAGCTAGGGTGAAGGGGCCTGGCTGGTGTCGGGGCTGTGCAGTTAGGGTGAAGCTCCAAAGGCTGGCTGGAAGGCTGGAGGCTGGCAGGAATGGGTGGTGGTGGCAGGGAGTAGCCTCTTCTCACAAGGAAAATCATTTGGTCTCCACTATCAGAAATTCCTTCACAAAAAATAATCTATTAGATGCCTCCTCTGTGGAAGGCATTGTAGCAAGGATGGGGCATCAAGAGGCTCCGACACCGGCTTCTCCTCTCACTTGCTTTGTCATCTGGCAAGTCGTGCAACAGCCTCCTCTCTGGCATTTACTAAGTGGTAATGACTATGTGCCCAGCACTGTGCAAACGGCTTGACTTACCTTATCTCATCTTTACAGTGGCTTCATCAGGAGGTATATACAGTAGAACCCCCACAGCTGGCTGGCTCCCTACGCTGACCACATCCTTAAGTTGACCTAATTTTCATGAATGAACATGCACCACCCGTACGTGTCAGTACAGTAGGCCTAGGCCCCCATGCTGACCGTCTCTACCAGTTTGTTACAGTCCCTTGGGTGGTCAACTTCCAGAGGTTCTGCTGCATCATTATTTCTTCTTCATAGACAAGGAAACAGACGGGCTTAGAGAAGATCAGCAACACCCCTGAGATCACACCACTGACCACAGGGCAAAGAGGAGACACAGATCTCAGTCTACAGCATCCCAAGGCCACATTCTTAGCCACTAATACATTTCACCTCCATGAGCTGAGTTTCCACAGCTATGAATTAGGCAAACCGATCCCTACTGGAATGTTTTAAATCGCCTATGTGGAGGGCCTAGAGTGTGCCCAGTGAACAGTCTACTCTGTTATTTTTCCTCCATTCCCCACCCTCCTGCCTCAACATTTCCCCGGGCTAAAGATGGCTCCAAGGACAAATGCCTTTTCCCTGAGTCCAGCAGTGCCTGCTGTGTGGCCAGCTGTTGACCTAAATGGATGATCTGGGAGTCCCGACCCTCAGTCCTCTAGACTGCAAACTGGGGACCCAACTCAGTTCATCACTAGTCCACGATGCAGAAAGCAAGTAGCATGAAGAGAATTCTCTGGGTGCCGTGTACTTCTACTTTCAAGCCACTGGGACTTTCAGGTTTTTCACAGCAGAATGGAGCACAAACAGATGGAGATGATCCCTTGAGCCCTCAAGGCAGAGAAGGGTATCAGAATGAAGATGAAGGTACGCCAGGTCCCCCTCAGTGGCTTGGGTCTCTCCCACAGGGAAACTCTAGCCCGTCCTCATCCCTACCACAGCACCAACTACAGTCATCCTCATATATTGGGGGCATTAACCTTCCTTCCACTGCAGGCTCCTGGGAGAGGCGGTGGGCATGTAAGCATTTAAAGCTCGAGCCTGCAGGTCAGCCCTCCTCTCCTCCCCCTTCTGCAGAAGCCTTAGAGCTGGAGGCTGTGTGGGGACAAACACCACAGCCTTGGAGACAAGTCATATCCTCAGCTTCCCGCAACCTGTGCAAGCACCGAGTTGCCATGGCGACGCTGCAGCCCTGAGATGCAGTGGCTGCAAACAGCATGGGTGGTTGTAGGGCTCAAAGCCGGGGGTGGACACTGTCTGGCCTGGGAGGCCAGGCGATTGGGCGGACTGGGTGGGGGAGGAGGACGAGAGGGAGCCCTCCTCCAGGCCTGGCTGGTAATTGCCACTAAATGAGGGGCTGTCATCGAACCCAACATGTGTGAGGTAAGGGCCCCCATTCTGTACCCTGTAATTACTGTACCAGACAGCAGCGCTTGCTCCCTGTGTCGGGGAGGGGGGGCTCTCATCCACCTGAGCCAGCAGGGATCTGGCAGGCTCTCCCCACTGCCCAGGCAGCCTCGCAGATGGAGGCGGCTGCTCTCCCGTCATCTGGCTGGAGCAGAAGCTTCCTTTAATCCTGGCCTCCAGCTTACAGAACCCAAGGGGGGCAGAAGTGCAGGAGCCAGATAAGGCGCCACTTTGGAGCACCCCTGGTGCTCCACCTCCGTAAGCCTGGTCTGTTTTGGCAATTTGTATTAGAGGCAGATACAGGTTCTAATTCCTCCAGAGTACAGGGGATCTGAAGGCCTTGGGCTAATCACTGCCTCCTCCTGGGCCTCAGTCTCCCTCGCTGCGAAACTGGAAGTTGGAGTCCATAATTCTTAAGGATTCTTCTGTTAAACACAACAGGACTTGGCAAACTACAGCTGGCAAGTCAAATCCTACTTTTGTAAATAAGGTTTCTCTGGAATATAGCCACACCCTTTTGTTTCTGTATCACTTATGGCTGCTTTCATGCTACAATGCATAGTAGCTGCAACAGATGCCATATGGTCCACAAACCCCAAATATTTACTATCTGGTCCTTTGCAGAAAGTTTGCAGACCTGTTTCTGAGATACTCAAGTTCTCTTAACCTTAACCAAGTGAGCTTTGGTAACTACAGTCTGTTTAGAATAACTTTATAATAAGTCCTATCCTAGGTTTCACTACTGTAGTCTTCCATAGACCCTTTCCCCCCTGGGTCTGGATAGTGGTGGCAAGTCAGATTGGGCTCCCGGAGCTGTAGTGTGGTGCAATGGCGCCACCTGCTGTGAGTGTCTAAAAGCACTTCTGCTTGGATCTTCTTGGCCCCACAGGCCAGCAGGTGTCCACCATCAGGGGACCCAGCCCTGTGGAGCAGGCCAAGGTCCAGAGCACTCCCATTTTAGAGGACTGTAGTCTAAAGAAAAGGCAGGACTTGTTCCAGGGAGCTGAGTAGAAGGCCCTGGGTCCCAGGGGCCCATAAACCCTTCCAGGAGACAGATGGCTCAGTGCACACAGAGAGGCACAGGCCTGGATGTGAAGCCCAGCCTGGCCGCTTATTTTAAGAAGCTTTTTATCTTTTCTAGGCTATGGTCTCTTGGTTGTTAAAAGGATTAAAATAAACACTTACATAACTATCTGTTGCTAATACTGACTCAATCTTCTGAAGTATTTTTAGATAGATATTATCATCCCCATTTCACAGATTAAAAAAACTATAGTGCAAAGAGGTTAAGTAATTTGCTTATGGTCACACAGCTAGTGACAGAGCCTGGATTCAAATCTAGTATGAAAATGTGTAAAGTCTCCAGAATACAGTGCTCAGTGAGTCTGCCTTTATTTCCTGACTGTAGGTGTGGCAGGGCCTCAGAGAGTGCACTCACATTGGAACAGCAGCATGAGACCAGGGAGACCTGGCATTTGAAGAAGGCCCTAGGCAGGGAAAGGAGGGGAGAGACCAGGCCCACACTGCCCAGTCCCTGGTCCCGTATCTCCAGCAACACAAGGCAGCCAGTGAACCATGAAGCATTTATTTCAAAACTATAAATAAATCAGCTCTCTGAGAAAAGCCACCCATAGGTAATAAGGCCCTGACCTTTCTAGGTCCCCTTCCCAGCTGCTCTGCAGTCCAAACCCAACCCTTGGAAGGTCACTATGCCCCTGCAACTAGTCTAGCTGTCAGAGCCTGTCAAACAGCTGAGAACCAGCCACTCCCTTCTCCTGTGGGGATTCCTGCATAGCTCCGGCCTAGCTCCAGCCAGGTCCCAGGCTGGCCTAGTGCTCACCACCCAACTGGTCAAGCTCTAAAGGGCAAGGAGGAGCCACAGCCTCTGACCTAGTCCTACCACATGGTCAAACCTGGGTGACTCTGTGGCCAATGTCCCCAACTGCTATCAAGAGCCACCTGGGCCTTGAGCCACTGGTAAGTATTGGTAACAGGATGGTATGGGGAGGGGTCACTCCGAGCTGCTCCTCCTGGCTGCTCACTGCTGCCCTTGGGCCATAAAGTAATCCTCATTTTCATCTTCCTCCTGCTGGCTGCTCCGGAGCAGCAGCTCCAGGTCGGGGTTGGACCCCACCCCCTTCAGGGGCTTAGGGCCACCATCACCTTGGGATAGAGAGAGACCACAGTTATGAACCCAACAGTGGCTTTGCTGGCTTGCATGTCAGCTGAGTCAGGCTCCCACCCACTCTCTGGAGATGACCCCTGTATCTTCCCAGGAGTGGCAATGGCAGAGCCACCAGGCATGTCCTGAATTCGAGTGACAGGGATATAGAAGCAGCTGAACCATGGAGACAGCCACCAGACCAGAACTGCCTTGGGAGGTTAGGAGCCACCTGGCTCTTCCTGGCAGGACTGGGGCCAGGTATGGGTCAAGGGGAAACCAGAAGAGCTAAGGGTCATGGGGGAAATGACATCAGAAAACCGGCTCCTGGAAGGGGCTCCCGGTTACCTCTGGAGTGGAGGGCTTTGAGGGCAACATGCAGGGATATTCCAGAGAGGCAAAGGGCAAAGCCCAGCCAGTTCAGGAGGCTGATCTGATCACCCAGAAGATGAGCTGCCAACAGCAAAGTGCAGACTTCCTGGGGGTAGAGAGGCAGGAAGGGGAAGGGATCAGTAGGAGGATGTGGCTCCTGTGCAAGAAGGGTACAGGGTGGGGCCCCGGGCACTCAGAAGACCCATACAGACCCACCCGAACTCCTGGGCCCAGGCAGGGCAGGCTGGCCTGTAAGGCAGGAAGGCCAAGGTCACGGCCTGTTACACTTCCCTGCTGGCCTCTCTTTGTGTCACTGAGATACAACAAAAGAGGTGCTTCTCACAGAATTCTGTTAGGAATAAAGAGGCAAACCAGATCCAGGGCTGGGGGTGCAGGGTGTCTAGGACTGGGGGAGCAGGGTATCCAGCCCACAAAGCACCCACAGAATAGAGAGGTACCCTTCAGAAGGCACTGACTGGTGGGAGCCCCCAGCTTTCATATGAGAATGCACATGACACGGGGCTCTAGGACACACATAGGCCCCAGGGGCCTTCCTAAACAGGGCCTCCAAATGGGACGGGTGAGGCCACTGACTCTGAGAAGCACAGCTGTGCCTCCTGCATCTCTGGGTTGAGGCAATACTGTTTTCTATCATTGTCTGCCTGGTCAAAGAGAAAACCCCTCTGTGGCCTGAGGAAGGAGGAGGGAAGAAGAAATATAGGAGAAGAAGGGAGAAGTGAGGAGAGGGAGTAGGGCGCGACAGGGAAGAGAGCTGCCTAGCGGCAGCAAAGCAAGACTGGCTACCCACGCCACTCATGATGTAATTGTCCCTGGCTGTGCCTGCGGTAGACACTGCCAGTCAATCGTGGAACTCTCTACAGATGAGTCTGGCTGAGGGCTTCTCCACCTATGGCTCCAGGCCACTGCCAAATGACCAGAGACGGAATTCAAGGTATATAAATGTACCCCAGGCCTAGTGGAGGCACACCTGTCCTTGAAGCTCTAGCCCTGTAGCCTTGGGCAGGAGGCTGTTCTTGTTTCCTCAACGAGAGGCATGATCAGTCCACTCATAGGCCTGGGGTGACCGGGGTCGGGGCCTCAGTGTTTAGCATACAGTGCTGGCACCTAATGGGCACTTCTGTTTCCTCTCCCCCCAGCCCTGCAGTGTGAGTGTGGGGACAGAGGTTGCTGCTGAAAAACTGTTAGGGGGCTCCCCTCAAAGACAGGACCAGGGTCACCCCCAAGTATGTACCTTAAAAATACCAGCAATGGAGAGAGTGAGGCTGGAAGTTCTGGAGACCAGGAGGAATTCAGAGAAGCCCAATCCAAAGGCGAGAATCCCGCCAAGGAAGAGACTTCCAAGAACCCACAGGAGCACCCCTGTGTCCTGGAAACGGAAGATTTTCTCAGATGTGGACAAATGGAGACCTGAAAGCAATGGGGAGAGAGAGCGGGAGGCCAGGTCCTGGGCTGCCTCAGCCAGCCCTCCCTGTCAGCCAGATGAGATCTGCCAAAGTCACAGTGAGGACTTACTGAGCACTTGGTGACTGTCTGAGGCCCTGAGAAAAAGGATGGGAAGTACAAAAGGACCCCATGCAGATGGCCTGAGATGGGGAAACCAGGGAAGCAGTGCTGGCTGACAGAGAGCCTTGGGCAATGCAAGTCCAGGAAGACTCCTCTGAGCCTCTGGGCTAACAAAGTCATGGGGGACTACCCTGCTCCTTCAGACCGTTATTTCTCTTCTGGTCTCTGGAGGGAGTGGTGATTTCACATGGCCTTTGCAGCTAGGAAAACTAATGGAACAAAGAGAGGCAGAGCAGCCTATCAAGTGAGGACTGACAATGCCTTGGCCCCTGGGGAAGTTCCTTGGTCTATATTTCACCTGGGCCACCTATAAACAGGGACAAAATTCTGTCCCTACAAACCTCCTTAATCTAGGTCTTGCTAATACAAAGCTGTGGGACGTGGGTTGAGATATGTCCCCTTTCTTGACCTCAGTTTCCCTTCTGAAAAAATGAGGGGACTGGGACCAGACTGGCATTTCTCAAACAAGCAGTATGATTTCACGAACATCTCCCCCAAGAAAACACACATATAAATACATTGTGGAAGCCACAGCTCTTTGCTCTAGGAACATACACGCATGCACACAGCCCCCAGATTTGGTTAGACTTCCAGAGGAGTCAGAGCCCCTCCAACACTGTCCATCTGAGAGCATGACTCCCCGGGTCCCTCCCACAGGAAAGGCCCCGTGGTGGACCAGGAGGGGCCAGGGAAGCCCCGAACTGGGCACAACAGAGATACCTGTGGTAGCTGGAAGCTGGACGAGTGCTTTGAGATATTTGGAGGGAAGCACCAAAGAAATGCAGAATGACAGTCCCCCCCAGGCAAAACAGCCTCACAATGTAGGACATCTTGTTTGGTGCTGGGCTCAGCAGTACTGCAAAGGTATCGGCAAATTGAAGGGAATTCGGGGAAAAGCAACATAAGTAATGAAGGCGCTTGGGGGATTAATTTACCAGAAAAGATTAAAGGAGCTAAATCCATGCAGCTTTGCTAAGTGACGACTACCATGGGCTTTCAGACAAGGTTTTGCAGAGATGGGGCACAGTGTAAACACCCAGGAAGGGAGGGAGAGTGTGGCGTCTGGTACAAGAGGGCATGAAGAAGGAATGGGGAGAGATTTGAAAAAGGAAAAAAAAAACCCAACCCCAAATGGAAGTTTCCTGGACAACGGGGATGCAGAATAATTTTCACAGGGAGGCTGGAGACGCTTCACTGCTTGAAACTTAAATGGATGTGGGACAGAATTTTCTGTAATGACCCTGAGGGCAGAAGGGATTCTGGGAGGAAGGATAAACAGACAGGGAACAAAGGCTAATCCCACAACATCAAAGAGAGGATGATGGCATTGTACCTCCCAGTCTACACAATTCTTCCTGCCTCTCCTTTCCTCTGGAAGATGACAGTGAAAGGGAACAACTGCTCACATCCCCAGGCTCCTTCACACTGTCCCCTTGTCCCCCACCCCAAGTCCTGGAAGTCCACACTGGGATGGACCCATACACCTTGAGCACACAGCCTGATGTTATATGTCTGGACATGGCCCAAGCTCCTGTTCCTACTTCCTGATGCCACTCCCTACCTGCCAAAATCCCACTCCTCCAAAATCTGCAGTCTGGGGAGCCTCTACTCTACCTATGCTACTCTGTCATCCTGAAACAATTCATAACTCCCAGCTTCTTAGAGTGTCATGCACAGCAGTTAAGAGTAGGGCTGAACTACTTGGAGCCAGACTGCTGGCTCCAAATTCAGGCTCATTTATGAGCTATGGGACCTTGGGCATGTTATCTCTTCTGCGCCTCAGTTTCTTCCACCTGCAAAATGGGGATAATAGTACTGCCACAGATGGTTCCTGAGAGGGTTAAATGAGTTACTGTTTAAAATGTTTACAATAGTCCTGGTGTTCTTTAGAGCTCTGTACCCATTCACTGTCATTACTGTTCCCTGTATTTTATATATGCTTCGTATATAACATTTACCATGCTGGAAGTCAGCCATTTAGTCTCCATGCATGTCCAGCCCCCAAACCACGTGCTGCCAGGGAAGGATGATGGCATCTCTGATCTCTGTAACCTCTGCAGCTACCACTGAGCTAGATTCAGAGCAGGGATTTGGAATCTGCTATCCTGAGGTGCCCCTAGAGTGGACGGCCCAACGTACCTTCAAAGACAGCAAAGAGAGGGAAGAGCCCCAGGAACATGAGTGGCTGCAGGTGGAACATGGTGTCAATGGGGTTCTGGAGGCCTGAAGGGCAGGGGGCAGTGGAGCCATCAGGTCTGACTGCCCCTACTCTGCCTCCACCCTGCCTGTGCCCACACCCCTCTCCCTGGGGAGTGGGCAGCCCCTGCTCACCAAGTTCAGACTTTTGCAGAAGCATCTGGGTAAGGGTCCAGCGAATGCCACCAATGAATGAAGCTGCCAACACCAAGGCGAAGCCCTCTATATTGAACTGTGTGGACTTGTAGGTGAACATGAAGAGACCCCCGGCGATGAGGAGGACCACCAGGACCAGTGCTGCGCGCTAATAGGATGGGGAGCAGTGGCAGCTAGCTTGGGGGTCTCAAAGGCAGGAGTTCATCACACCTGGAGTTTGGAGCCAGCAGCCATTTTGGCTGCCCCTGGGCCATAAACCCTCTACCCTCAGCCTGACCCCAGAGAGTCTTGGACAGTCCTTGCCCACTGTGGTATGCAGGACTGACACTCAGCCGATACATATTCACTCAATATCCTTTATCGTTTTCAATACCGAAGTGCTTTCTGATGGTGTCTTATGCCCCTAAGTGGCCTCCCTACTTCCTAGACCTAGTAGACAAGGGCCATTGCCTTGTATGACAGGGAGACTCCAGGCTCTGCTCTGTCCCAGTCCTTGAATTTGAGTGCTTTCTCCCTCAGCCATTACCCCACCACGCCCATCTCTATGTTCTCTGAATACTGCCTCTGTGACAAAACCCTTCTCAGAAAAGGGAACTACAGCCACCTGGGCTGGGCCTGTCTCCTCTGTCACACAGAGTGATAGGCCACTACTCAGTCTCCCTCTTTTATTCTTAGCATCTGCGGGGGCAGGAGGGACAAAAGCAAAGCTGGGGGCCTCACCAGCTCCTCCAGCTTGAAGATCAGAGAGAAGATCAAGATGAAGAGGACGGCTGAGGATTTGGTCATTGTGTACCTAGAAGGGAAAATTGCCCACAATGCACTGCTCGAGCCCACCACCAAGAAAGGAGCCCAGAGCACAAATCAGTGGGCTGGAAAGGGGGGCACTCCCTGGCTTCCCTGAGGGCAAGCCAGCTACAAAGATCAAAAGGAGCTGGCCTGAGACATCTGGGCTGATAAGCGACCTTTAATCGGAACAAATCTCTGACTAGGAGGCCTCTGATTATCACTAGGGAGAAGAGGCTGCAGGTCTGATGCCAAGCTCTGTTCTTTATCTCACCCTCAGCAGAAAACAGGATAGGAAAGGAAGGACGGGAGAACAGGACAAGAAGAGGAGGCAGGGGCTGTGTCTATGAAGCAAAATATCAGCAAGAATGACCTCCTGCATCCCCCCATGCCCACGTGAGGTCCACTCCGGCTCAGCCACTCCTATCCCCACTGTGCTGCTGCTCGCTCTCCCTGCCATGACCATCGGGGTTCCGGGGAGCTCCCTGGCCTCCCCAAGCCACCAGGTACAGCATCCCCTCTGCACTGGGCATATGGAAGGGGCTGGCGACTTACTGGAGAACTGCTGGGTGCCAGGGAGGAGCTGAGAGAGCAAGGGCTGGTCCCACCAGGGAAGAATGGGCAACCCATCAGCTGGGTGTGCAGTCAGCTGGATGGACAGCTTGAGGCTGAAGGGAGGTGGCCGGGTATGGCTGATACTCACAGAGAGACGGTGATGTAGAGGAAGCTCCAGTTGGACAAGCCCACGTCAAGTGCTGTTGCCAGTGCTGTGGAGACAAGGGGCCCCCAGAGAGCGTGGGCACTCAGCCAGAGAAGGTCAGCGTGAGGTGTCTCTGTGTCTCCCGCTTTGTACCTGCCTGGCTCCTTCTCTGGGGGCCTCAGGCCTTCTTTTCCACCCAGCAACTAAAAGGGCCAGAAAGGCAGGGGACTGCTGCAGCATCAGGGCTGGAGTTCATCCTGATAGCTGGGACCTCTGTCATTCTCATTTGTGAAGTATTTTGACTATCCCCTGATGAGGAGTATCAGTCTGATCCTGTCAACTACTTCCTGAAAACCCTCCTCCCTGAGGATGGAACACAAATGCCTCCCGGATGACCCTTGCCAACTCTCCATTTCTCCTGCCCCCTCTCCCACTGAGCTCCCAGTATCCTCAGACACTTACATGCTGCACTAAACCTCCCTCATCACGAGCACCCCTCCCCCCAGGACCGGCCAGTCCCACTTGTCCTTTAGACCTCAGCCTATTCAACACCTGACCTAGGAAATCTGCCACCAGACACTGACCCTGGTTCAATTCTTATCCCTGTGTTCCATGGTACCTGTGAGGGCAGAGACCTTGCCAGTTCACTATCAGGTACCTTCTGGCAGTATTGGGGGGAGGGGAGGCCAGGCTGGGAGGGTGAGAGAGTACAGGGTGGGCAAGAGGGAGGACTTCCTTCTTGTGTGTGGCCTTTGGCTTCCCAGCAGCCTCCCTCCTGCCCTGCCCTCGCTGAGATCCTGCCCCCACACATACCTGTGGGAGCCACCCTTCTGAGGTAGTCGGTCCAGCTCAGCACCACGCGGGCCCTGTGGCTGGAGCACTGAACCAGCGCCCTGGACAGGGCAGAGAAGAGGAAGATCACGGCCAGGTGCAGCATCGTCATGAAGAGAGGGAAATGGAAGCTCTGTATGGAGCCCAAAGCAAACACCCCAGGCTTGGTTTAGATGGCCTGCCCCACACCTGGCTCCTGCCCACAGAGCCATGCTAGGCTAATACGTTGCATCAGGGATCAGAATACTGCAATACTTCTCTCCCAGGCAGGAAACAGCTGCTGCCTTGAGCCCCTAAGTTTCCCCAGGTCATCTCTCAGTATCTCCCTGCCTCTGATTTTCCCTGACCTAAACATTTAATGGGACACCTCCCCCGCCCGCCCCACCACAAGCACAACAGGCTTAGAGGGCCCTGTTTCACCACCAAGTATTAATGGCTTCTAGTTTGGCTGCTTGAAGCCCATGCCCTCCTGCTGTTAAACATTAAGAGGCATCACAGCCATGGCTCCAGCCCCCTGCACTGGCAAGGCCTCCAGTTACCTTCGTCAGCCATTTGTTGTAGAAGGTGATGCCGATGGAGAAGCAGTAGTACAGAAGGACCAGCCCCAGAGTCAATACTGCCTTCCACACAAAGGCCACGTCCAGGGCCCACCTCCCCATCCGTAGAAGCTGCTCCTAGGTCAGCGGGGCAGGCACCTCTCTTGAAGACAGATCGCAGGAAGAGCCAGCTGAGCTGAACCACGACTTTCAACAAGACCGTCTCCCAGCTAGAGGAGTTCTCTTGCCTCCATGATTCCAGATGGTCAATAGAGGCCCAGGTGGAGTCCTTAGGTGGAGTCTTCACCTAAGGGGCTGGTGGCCTGAGCTGACCCTTTCCATGGTTAATGGGATACAGGGCTCACAGGCCTCCAGGTCTGCTGCTAGAAAAAAGAAAAGGCAGCTCTGGGGCTAACGTACAGACACAGGCTCCAGTGAAAGCTCTGTGACTCTAGCTCCTGAGGACCTGCCTCTGGCTGTCCCCACCCACAGGGGGCAGATCTAAGCAGACTGGGCAGCAAAGAGCCCACACCTGGCCCAGCTGCTCACATATTCCCACGTCACCTCTATTCTTGATGCCTTAAGCTGTTCTCCACGAATTACCACTAAAGCGACCTTTAAAAAACGTGAATCTGATCATTATCAGACCACTGCTTAAAATCCTTTGTCAGCAGCTTCCAATACTCTTCCGATAAGGCCCAAACCCTTCCTGGGGCCCCTGAGCCCCTGACCAGGTCCCACCAGTCTCTTTGGCCTCAGCTTAAGGCTGTCCGGGCACTGGCCCCACCTCTCAGTTCCCCAAACACACCAGACGGCTTCCTGCCGCCTGAAGGAATGGAAAGGATGCTAAGCCCACCCTTCAGTCCTTGCTCGTTGATCTTACCCACTGTCAGCTCCTCAGTCCCCCGCTCTGGCTCCCCACGCTCCCTTGATCAGTTCCCCTGAGACACAGGTGCCTCTCAAAGCTCCTCTACTTCTTCACAGCACTGTGCAGGGCCTAATCTGAATAGTGTCTGTCCCCTGTAAGGCTGTAAGCTCCACAAAGAGAGGGACTAGCGTGGCCACAGACCTAGGTACCCCTGGCATAATGTATGTTCTCCAATCCATCTGATGCTCAGTGACAGAGCATGCACGCAATTTTCAAGACACTGATCTGATCTTTAGGGGTTAAAAATCGACCAGGAAACCAATACCCATCTTGCCCAAGCTCTCACAACTACTCTTACAGAGGTGGTGCCACTCCTGGCCTCTCCACAATCCAGCCAGACCTAACAAGTGCCCAAAGCATTGCCAGGCTTGGGGAGACTGGGTGGACGGACTGTGTCTGAGAGGCAGCGGGTCCAGCATTACACCTGCTTTGGCAACATCCCCTCCTGCCTGTCTCCTCTTTTAAGATGTTACTGCTCTGTTGAAATGCCACCTCCTTCTTGAAGTCTTCCTACAACCATGTGATCAGACACCCCCCCCCCAGTCCATATTGAAGGGAGTGATTACATTTTGTTCTGTACTTTGGAACCTGCATTATCATCTCCCCTCCCCTAGGGCAAACAGACAGGGATGTGGAGCAAGACCTTGCCCAAAGTACACCCTAGGGTTAGAGTACTTTTCAGAGGAGTCATAAAAACCTGTGGTGGTATTTTGCGAGGATGCTCTTGGCATTTAATGAGCAGAGACGATGAAGGGACACCCCAAATGACTAAGGAGCATTCTGCATCCTTCAGGAGATACCACATAGGTGAAAGATCAAGTCATAATGACGTGAACCTAGAACCTAACTGTTTTATATGTAAATACAGAGCAGTTTTCCCAGGGTTCTGCAATGAACTAAAATTTCCAATATATCTCACACCCAGAGTATCTGAAACGGACTGTTTTTCACACCTGCCCACCCCCCATCCAAACCTGCTCCTCTTCCCTCCATCCTTGACTCCACTCTTTTCCCCCAGCTTATATTCAATCAACAAACACTGTCAACTCCATCTTCAAAAGTAGCCCAAATATGGCATTTCCCACCCTCCACCACTACCATAGTGAAGCCACATGGACAGTGTGGTTTAGTGTTTAAAATTATGGGTTTTGGAGTTAGAGACCTAGGATCAAATCCTGGTACCTCCACTTCACTACTGTGTGACCCTAAGTTACCTGACCTCTGGATTCAGTTTCTCCAACTTTAAAGATAAAACCATCTCCCTCCTGGGGAGGACAGTCAGTGGCATCAGGTAGATTACACAGTGCTGGCTCAAGGTAGAGGCTTATTCCCCTGTTGGTCCCCTGATAGTGAAACTTCCCCCATAGGGTCCTGCCCTATCAGCCCCACTCCCTCACCTCTTATCCTCACTTCAGCCTGTCTCCACTGCTCCAATGAGTCACCAGGTCCACCTCCCAGACCCCCTTTAAGGGTCAGGCCTCTATTTTCATCTTATGCAACTGACCACTTCCTCCTCCTTGAAAAACCATCTCTTGGATGCCATGACAGGACACTCTCCTGGCTTCTGCTTTTCTGGATTTCTTGGTCTACTAGCTGGCATCTCCTCTTCAACTCAGTCTGTAAAAACTGGGTCCCTTAGGCTTGGACCCTGGCTTCTGTTCTCTCTCTTAATTCTTACCTTAAGTAATCTCATCTCACCTAGTCAACTTGTCAATGATTCCTAAATTCTTTACAATAGCCTTAACCTTTTCTGTGAGTGGCAAACTAGTATATCTAACTCCATTTTTTTGGTAGATCTAAAACTTAAGATGCCCTAAAATTTTAAATTTATCACTCATGCCCCCAACCCAAAGTCATTTAGTAAATGCCACCATAATACACCCAGTTACTTAAGCCAAATTCTAAAATCAGTGATGAAGTCCCCTTTGACCACACCCTCTTTCCCTCATTCCTCAAATCCAGCCCTGTCAATTCCACCTTCAATATGCTTCTTCACCCACCTGTCTGCTCTCACAGCACAGCCTGGGCCACAATGATCTTTCACGTACTGATTGCAAACTGGTCTTTCTGTTTCCTTTCCTCCCTACAACCAGGATCCACAAAGCATCTTGTGTTAAGATAGCTTAAACACAAAAAGTACATCGTGCCCTTTTAAGACTAATCGCAACTCCTCCACACGGCCCACAAGCAAGGCCTCCCACGGTCTAGCCTCTGCCGACCTTTGCAACCTCATTCTCCTACCACTGCCCCAGCACCTCCTGTTATCTGTCAAACACATCAAGACTGTGTCCTTTGTACGTGCTGTTTTCTCTGCCTACAACACTCGTAGACCTTCGCTTGGCTGAATACTTTCCCCAAGGTACCACCCCTGCCAACCCCCGCCCCATTCCCGTGGCGCGTCCCACCAGCTGACGTTTCCTTGTTTGCTCACGTGTTAACTGCCCAACCCACCACCGACGCGGGAAGCAGCCTCGGTGGGCAGGGACTTGTCAGATTCTCGCCTGGGTCAGGGCCCAGCACATCACAGGTGCTCAGTAAATACCAGACTAACGGGCGTGCAGCATGTGCCCCGCAGAAAGGAGCCTGGAGACCCCTGTCCCCTCCACAGGTCGGGAAACTGACGCCCAGGGAGGGGCAGGAGCACGGACGGGCCCCACGTCGCCGCACGCAAAGCCCTGGGGACGACCCCACTTTCCAGCTCCAGCTCCGGCTCCCTTCTCCCTGTCTCAGGGAGCGAGCTGGGGGCCCAGCCGCAAGCCCACTCACCTCCCCGTGGGCGCTCCCGACCCGGATCTCCCCGCCGGAAGTGCGAGACCGGACGCAGACACCACGCCGCGTGAGGGGAGGGGACTTCCGCCGGAAGCCGCTGGGGACGGGGCGGAGCCGGGAGGGCGGTGACGGTGGTGGGGTCTTTTTCTCCCCTGCCTAGACCTCGGGCAGTTCCCTACTCCGCAAAGCCGCGCGAAACTTGAGCACATCGCTGTGCTGTCAACGCGTCTCCTCCGCTCAAGCAGGGTTCACTGTGGAGCTCCGGCTCCTACTAGTGTCTCGCATCCCTACAAAGGTCACCTGTTTATTTTTCTTGGACGAATTGTTTCTCTTATGTTCACTCCAGTGCTGAGCACCCATGGAAGGAACCACGAAGATAAGTACTTCATGAGCTTTTTCTTCTGGCAGCTCATACCAGCTGGGCGGTGATGTCAGGAGCATTAAACTTTAAGATCCAGAAGTAACAATAAACATTTGCAAAACATTCTCTGTATGCCTGAACTTTATAACAATTATACCAATTTTAATAAGATGCATGGGGAAGAGCATCCCAGGTAAAGGAAATGGAAGAATCTTAATGGAGGAGGTGAGAGGCTCTTGGCTTACTTAGAGCCCAGGATGGTGGTGGTTAAAGTAGCCAAGGGGTCGGTTGTAGTGGCCCCAAAATGCCACTCTAGGGAGTTCAGACTTTCTTCATCTTGCAGAATGGATTAAACCGGGAAGCATTTATGGAGGAGACCATTAGGCAAGGGCAAGCTAGGATTGCACAGTCAGGCACAATTTTGTGCTGTTTGCCTTCCTTGTCCAGCCTCCTCCTGAGCTCTCTGGCACCACGACTGCCTGCAGACATGGATCTTTGCAAATGATTCAGCTGGGCTTCCTGGCCCCTCTGAACAGGAGGCTCATGGCCAGAGTGTAAGTAGTGCTTTGTGCAAACTGCTGCTGTCACCACCGCCAGCTGGCATCATACAGGCATTAGTTCATTCAGTGCTTCCCAAGCACCTACAATGGCACCCAGTGCTGCCCAAGGTCTTGGCTTTATTCACTCGAGGCCTGTATTACATGCACTTTCTGTGCCTTTTGAGAGAGCCTGTCCTTGCTCCCTTTTCTCTTAGAGGCAAGAAAAAGTATCTATTTTCATCACCGCTTTCATTCAAGTCTCACAGCTACCAAGGCCAAGGTTTGGAGCAAACAGCCTAAAATACCAGCTGGAAGGCTGGGCACTAAGCACAGGCAACACACAGCATGGAGACCATGTCTTCTTTGTAAGGCAGAAGTACTCCAGCTATTCTCTGGCTGTGTCCCTGGCAAGGAGAAGAGGAAGGACATGTTCATGGGGGTGTACAGTATGCTTCCCCTGCTGTACCCAGCAGGGCTGAGCAGAAAACACTTTGTCCCAGTGCAACAATCTGTGAGCATCCTTAACCAGCAAGTGAGTGTTTGGCTGTGTGGGGGTGTGATGGGGGCAGGGTGAGTGGTGAGGAGGAAGACTCTTGGAAGGTGGCTAGGGGCTCCAGCTGGAGCGCTCCAGTCTCCCAGACACACTGAAAATGGCTTGCCAAGGTGAAATCTCCACCCTTGGGCAGAAAGCAAGTGCACAGAAACAGCTGCTAGTAGGAACTACAGTTTGTACATGAAAGAGTATTTATTGAAAACATGGTTACTGACAGGAAGCTCCTGGCTGCTCTCTGGTTACAATCTTGGCTCACAACTGAAAGTGTAAATCCCCCCCACCCCACAAAATTCTATTTTCCCCCAACATTCCATCCTAGGATAGGTAGGTCTTATATAAATATATATACAAGTCTGTATAAGTATGGCCTATAGTAAAGAAAATATATAGTACACTCTTCATTGGGTAGTGTGTAGCCTACCATGCCAGGCTACCAATACTGTATGCCACTGTGTTAACATATCCGAGGAGAGAGGCTGTGCGTGTGGTTTTCAAGTGCTGCAGCACCAGGGAAGCCCCATTGGCACAGCTGTGGCCTCCGCCAACCTCAGCCAGCTCCCTGAAATCATGGCCAATGGCAGAAACCACAGCACTAGGAAGGAGAAAAAGGGAAGACAAACTTCCTGGGGTCTGGAAGGCCAAAAGAAAGCAAACTGGAGGGGGCTGCAATTCAGGTTAGGTGAGAGATTTCTCCCCGAGGAAGGAAAAGATATAAATGTGGGAGTAAGGGAGTAGAATTTAGTGACCTTACCACAGTCTAGGCCCAGGTCTTAGCCAGGGTTTTCCTGCAGCATTCCTGGAGACTAAGAGGGCAGGACTTAGCCTGGAGGTCTTTTGACTTGCCAGGTTGCGACTAAGAGCTTGTGGAGAGAAATTTCCATCTGCCCTGATATCCGCAAGGGTAAGAGAGATGTGGTGGCTCTAGAAATCAGAGATGTTAGAGCCAAACATCAGAAGCAGCAGCATCTTGGCACCATATGAGGCTGGAGTAAGCCCTCATGAAAAAGACAAAGCAAAGGCCCAAGGCCTGCACTAAGATCTGAGACATAGGTATTGGTCACCGAAAGGCAGTCACTTCAAGGCTCTCAACATGCCCAGCACATATGTCCCCTGTAGGCAGCCTTTCCTGGGCCAGCTCTTGCTCACATGGGGATCCAGCTAAGCAGAGAGCAGGCTTAGAAAGTAAAGGTAAGTGGCTGTTGTTAAGTCCATTTCAAGAAGCAGTTTCTCGGGCTGGAAGGCAAGGGCATCTGCTGTTCATTCCTCATGGCCCAATCCCAGGCTTGATGG